TTTAATTAATTTATTTTGGTGAATATTTTTGTAATTTTCGGTAAAAAGTGATATTTTCGACTTCTTGTTAAAAACCGTAAGTCCGATTGCTTTGATACTATTCATATTGTTCATTTTCTAATGATGTCTTCAGTTCTTTAATTGAAATGTGCATTGCTAACAGCGGAGCTGTCTCAGCCGATAGGCTGCTTGTTTAATCTGTACAATACACAACCAAAATGTTAGTTGTGGTACCATATAAATAAACACAAGATGTCATGTGATATGTCATGTGATATAGTGCGTAATTATGATAAAACCACTAGTATGTAATTAGCTGTAAAATTAGTTTGAACTTGAATTTCCCAGGTGTTTAAATGCTGTTTGTATGAATACAGATTATAGATATCCTACTGTTTTAATCCATATATATTTACTGTATTTGATACTACAAAGATTGTTTGGACAGAAAGTGTTTAATCGAATAAAGAAATGACAACAAATGCACCTCATACAAATAGAATTTTTTCAATAAAACATGCATATGAATTTTTATAAATATTGAAAAACAATGACATTTTTTCAGGTGATCCCTGTTTCTTTTTTTGTTTAAGATTATCATCCCATTATATATTTAGCAACACACAGAAATTTGGATCATTATTTTGAAAAAATGTTTTTCATATTCCCATTTTCCCTTTCCTAGCATAATCAAGAATCAAATAAGTTAATTTAAATTTTGCATAAAATGGATATTTCTCTTATTTTTATTAAAACCAGGGGTGGGAGAATACTAACAAAAAAGTGGTTTACAGTGTAATTCTGTAGCCGCGATTGGACTGAAACAGAGCTTATAATGTCCACCTGGCTGTCCACCCATTTGTCTTTGGCATACACTGATCAATTTCATTGAAAATTTCTCACATAAGCATTGTATTGTAGTCGGCAGGTACCCCTAAAGTTTTATCGTGATTCATCCACGTTTAATAAGTGGATTTTGGAGCAAAACAATCTTATTTTTGGTCTAAAACAAGGTTTTCTGTGATATAGGGAAATGCATTGAGTGATTTTGTTAAAAATCGGGACAAATACAAATTATAATAGAATACGTATTTTACTGATATTTTGTGGTAATCCATGCACTTTTAGGTGTGTACCCAACATTATGATCATTTTGAGTCAGAAATGGGAAGAAGGGGAATGTTTTCTTTAGTATTTAGGTTTACCGTACATGGACAATTTTGTTTATGTCGATACAAAGGCAAATTCCAATGGAATAAATACAGTATTCCATTGATAATTTGTATAGTCTATACATTTTTGGTTTTATGTTGGAGCTCAAATGGTTATTTTGGGTCAAAAATTGGAGTGAAAATAATTTTTTCTCTGGTATTTGGACATGGTGGTGAAGATGATGTTTTCTCTGTTATTTGGACATGAATCGTACTATTTTGTTCAAAGTTGTTATGAAGGCAATTTATATTGAAATATGTATTCCACTGAAATTTAACAGAGTAAATTGGCGAAAAATTGTAAAAACATATTTATTAATTCCTCTCTACTGTCTAATTTGGCTTAGTCTTTTCCACGAAACGAAACGTGAAAAAAACAAAATCAACGACTTCAAACATCGCCACGTCACAGAAATAAATTTGTCGAGAATATTTATTTTCCACCTCTTTTCCGTCTACTTTGCAGCTCACTTCATTTGTGCTGACATGACATGACAGTCATTTTGGAATTGTTGAGCACTGATGGCGCTAATCATTTTGTGTTTCACAGTGCGAAATTTTCTCAGATATTATTAGGGCAATGAACAAAAATGTGAGTTAGGGTTAGGGTTAGGGTTTTGTTTTGTGGAAAAGACTAAGTCGTCTAATTTGTGTTTAATTTATTTGCACATCTACTGTAGAATACTTTATTTTCGCTTGGAATTTATTTCCGCTATTTTCGCTGAAGGGATGATTCCGTGAAAATAAAATCCAGCGAATATACTTTTTTTCCTATATTTCACATTAAACTCATGAAAAATCAGTGAAAATAAATTCCAAGCAAAACGCCCACAAATCCTTTTCAGCGAAAATTAATTCCAGCGAAACTAAAGTATTCCACAGTATTTTAGTATTAATCATGGTGAGTGTATATAGTAAACACAACTTGACTAGATCTGGTACAGGGACTATGGCATGTTATGTCTTGTTTTAAATATTTTTAACCAATTATTTGTGAGATGTTGTTAAAGAATGAAATAAGGTCATGTATTTGTGGAGGAATCTTTCTCTATTGTCGTCATTCAATTATCTCAGTTTACAAATTTACTGTTTTGCTGTTTTTGAAAAACTACAATAGCCTGTATCCTTGTCCTTGTTGTATGCTATTCTTGTAACAACAGAGTATTGTAACTAGAGCCATAAACTTGACAATCTGTTAGTAGAATGACTATTAACAAAAGCAAGCTTAGAAATGCTTCAAGTTATACAGAACCATTGTTGTGCCGTTGATTGGTATAATGATATTGACCAGCACAACTTTCACAACATAAGCCTCAACTTAACATTTTCTGTTGTTTTCAGTTTAACATTAATTGCAGTACGATAATTTTACAAAATTGGAAGAATTATTCAATCAAAAAAATATTTTCTAATTTTGCAATAGATCTGGAGATGTGTATAGTTTGAATCCTGCAGAGG